AGTAGGCTCTGCATGGGCACAGGGGTTTGCTCACTCAAATCCAATTGCTGGATGGGGGACATGGATTGTGAGCTCTGAGGCTGGGATCCTATGCAGTTTATGTGCTGCACCTAGCCATGCTTTGGGTGATGTAAAAACAACAATACATATTGAGGAGATTTGAATGAATTAGCAAATGTTGGATCTGGTCCAGCAAGAAGTTATTCACAGGTCCCCATGTGAAGTGACAGATCCTCCCCTCCCCCTAAGAACACCTTGCACCATCAGGGCCTTAGAAAGAGTAATCCTCTGAAGTAATGACAGATTCATTGTGTTTCAAGACGTCTCGTCAGGCCTCCTGGTGATTTGATTGAGGATGTGCTGAACAAAAGAAAAAAAAATAGGTAAGAGTTTGCGTCCATTTCATCTCTGCTTCCCCCATTCATAGCTATAGCAATATAGATGTCATGCGTCTGCTCTTTTCTTTTCACTGTGTGTGTGCGTGCACTGAATATTCCCTTGGTTTCTATGTTACTTTGTCTGTGTAACATTTCAATCTGTCAGAACCATTAAAAAAAACCCAACCCTGAAGATTTGCAGTGATCCCAAAAGCTAATGCAAATCCAGTCACTGAATCAAAATAATGTATCAGTCAAGCAGAGAGAGTTTTGACTACCTATAAAAAGCCACGTTTCAAAACAAAATGTACATCCCATCACTTAAAGCTCAAGGCAAGTGTATGCTAGGAGGATGGTGAAGGCAAATACAATAGGCTAGAAATGTTCGTTAGTCAGAGGCTCTAGTCCTGCCAGCATTTACGCATATAATAGCCTCATTGACGCTACTGGCACTACTCACCTGTGTAAAGTTAAGCAAATGTGTAACTATTTGCAGGACAGGGGTGCTCTGATTCTGATTTGGGGTCTGCTAGTGCAGGCTTCTGTACCTATGTAGAGCCCCATTGAACAGGGCTGTCCAGAAAACAACAACAACAACAAAAAAGTCTGAGGTTTTGCAAAAAAAAAAAAAAAAAAAAAAGTCTGAGGTTTCAAATTTTGTTTTTGTTCCACTATGCAACAAAACTGAGACCTTCCAAAATGTTTTGTGAAAAAGCCTGCCCGAGAGACTGGCTCCGTAGCCTGCTGGTTAGGGTGCTCACCTGTAATGTAGGAGATTCAGGTGTAAGTCCTGCCTACAGATCAAGCAGAGTAGGGACTTGAACCGAGGTCTCCCAGCTTACCTAACAACTGTGCTATTGGTAAATCTGCATCGGGGGGGGGGATTTCCATTCTGTCAGCAGAATTTCCATCCTGGACCTGAGAAATGTAATCAAAACAGATTCATTTCTGCAAAACCTCTTGGTTTTGACAAAATGGTATTTTCAGTGGAAAAAGTGTAGTGGAAAGTTTTTTGAGCAGCTCTGTGTTGAAATCAATGGGCCTGATTCTCCTCTCACTTACACCAGTTTTACACTGATATAGACTAGTGTGAGGGAGAGGAGAATCTAGCCCACTGGGACCCCACAGGTTTTCAGGGATTCCGAGTAGCGCATCCCAATTGTAGGATCAGGGCTCTAAATTGTAAATTCCTTCAAGCAGGGACTGTGTCCTCCTATAAGTGTGGACAGTACCTAACACAATTGGCTTCTCATCCTGGTTGAAGCTACACTAGTGAAATGCAAATAAGAATCACTTTGATAGATGGCTGTTTACAAGAGGAGCTCTCAGGAGTACTGGAAGTTTTGCAGGAGAAAGCAAAGTGCTCTCAAGTCGTCCGCTCGTGACATGCAAAAACATTCAGGAACATACTAGCTCCTGATGTACTTGCCTTTAAAACAGGCTTAGCAGAATTCAGTTTATTTTTAAGCATTTTTTCCTATTTTTATCTACTTAAATGTTCAGAGTTGTGGGAAATTATGGGGGGCAGTGGTCAGACAATAATTATTTAATGACAGTAGACGCTGAGATTCAAAAAGTTAAAGCTTTAAAACCATTAAAAACACAAATTGTCAACATCATTTATCAAAATACATAAAGTCAAGGGCCTTAAAATCAAACTCTAAGAGTTCTCAAGCTGCAGTTTTTGTACTTCGCCTGTCTGCAAATTTTGACTATTCTTGATGGAAAATATTTTTTCTTCAGTTTGTGTGCACATCATGAAATCAACATTTACTGCTAAAAATCTAATCCTTCCAAGCCCTACCTTTAAAGCATTTTTAGATTAAATTAGTCCTGGGACCTTGTAATAAAATGAAACTGGAGTGAGGAAATGACATTCAACCACTGTGCAGACCACAAACTGTTCTCAGACAAAATACAACACAAAATTTGCTGACCTTATATGCTGTAATGGAGAGAGGACTGTAAGTGAAATTATATATATGGAAATTTTAGTACCAAGACTGAAATATCATATTAAAATATTTCATAAAATTGTGCAATCGACCTAAAATTTGAATCCAGGGAGGTTACACAGGGATTTATTTAAGCTTCACAATACTAACTAATGACCATCTTATCCGAAAGCACATTAAAAAGAGAGGTGACATTTTCAAAGCTCTTTGTGCATCTGAATCCCTGAGGTAGCTTTGAAAATCTCTTATCTAGCTTGTCTAAGGCCTTGGCTACACTGGCAATTCACAGCGCTGCACTTGCTGCGCTCAGGGGTGTGAAAAAACACCCCCCTGAGCACAGCGAGTGCAGCGCTGTACAGCGCCAGTGTAATCAGCGCCTGCAGCGCTGCACGCTCGCTCGCAGCGCTGCAAGCTATTCCCCTCGGAGAGGTGGAGCACATACAGCGCTGTGAGAGAGCTCTCGCAGTGCTGGCGGCGCGACTACACTCGCGCTTCACAGCGCTGTGAATCCGCGAGTGTAGCCAAGGCCTAAGGCACTTTTCGTCAGTAGATCTCAAAATGTTTTACAAAGTGAGGTTACGTATTATTATCCCTGTTTTATAGACGGGGAAACTGAAGCACAGAGACAACAAGGGGTCCGGTGGCACCTTAAAGACTAACAGATATATCTGGGCATAAACTGAAGAAGTGGGTATTTTACCCATGAAAGCTTATGCCCACATAAATCTGTTAGTCTTTAAGGTGCCACCGGATCCCTTGTTGTTTTTGTGGATACAGACTAACACGGCTACCCCTCTGATACTTGAAGCACAGAGAGGTGATGTGACTTGCCTAAGGTCACCCAGCAGTGGCAGAGCCAGCAACAGAACCAAGGACTCCAGTTTGTAATCTAGGCCTCTCTCCACCAAGCCACAGTGCTCCCTACCTTGCTGCACCCACCATTGAAATACAGTTATTTGGGGGTGGGGGAAGGGAGCGGGATATGTAGCAACTTAACATATCAGAGAAGAAGGGCCTAGGAGTCAGATGACCTGGGTTCTGAGTTTGAGCAGGTCTTTTCACCTCTTTGTGCTGGTTTCCCCGTCTGTAAAACGGGACATGAGAATAGTTGCCTGCCCCACAGGGCTTTTTTCAGGCTTAATTCACTTATGTTGGTAAACTCCATTGAGATCCTTGGAGAAAAGATGCTGTGGGAGTGAAGCACCTTGGGATCTCTAATGCTGACTTCTCATCCAAAAGAGCACACCTCTGGCAGCACAGAGATACCCCACACCCGCAGGAGCACTACTTTCTAGGGACTCGGAGAACAAAGTGCCATTTCCTGCAGCACCTACCTCTGCCTTGCAGGTTTGGCCAGCCAAGCAGCAATTCAGCTCAGCTGTGCCTGCTTACAGATCTGAGGGCATCAGCATGGTGATAACATAGCGAATGGCACATCTCTTACCAATCACAAGCTGCAGGTGGTACCTTTTTACTGGGCTTCCTAGAAACACTCTAGTTAAGTTCTCCAGAGTCAGACTGTCTTTGTCAAGCCACAAGGTATTTCCTGCTTCCTCCCCCTCCTTTACACAAATAAATAATAATAATCATCATAAGTTAAAAAATACCCAGAAAGTTCAATGTAGTTTAGAAAAACCCGCCCTTGAGTTAACTGGAGCAAAACCGAAATGATGAGGAAAGGGGGCTACGTGAAGGTCCTTGAATGATGGGTCTCTTAGAAGGACCAAGCATCTCTGTTGAGTGGGAGGGGAAGTTTCCTCCCCATCCCACCCTTTTTTTAGGGGCAGGGAGGAAAAAGTATTTTAAGATCAGAGCTGGGTGAAGCCAGGAGAGTTGAGGGGAATTTGTGGCAGAGGGCTGTGACCCTCTAGGTGAGGTTAGGTGGCCTTCCAAGTAGGTCTGGGACTACTTATTATATTTTTGCGGGGGAGACTGTGAAATTGGATGACTTTGACTGACTTTCAGTTTGATTCTTATTTTTAGGGGAGAAGGGGGGTGTTTGAACCTGAAACTCAAGAGGCATAACGTAGCCCCGAGCAAAGCCTTTAAAACAAAACACAGAGCCTGCTGAGGCTTCGGTGACTCAGTACAGCTGCTTGGCCTACAAGGCAGTTTTAAAAATGACTCCCACTTACGATGGGGGATTTTTTACAGTGCGTCTCTCCTGCATGGTAATTAATAATTGTACAAAGAGCACCTTGCCTTGGGGGATCTCAGAGTGCCTCTTAGATCTGATGCATTCAGCCTTGCAACACACCTGTAAGGATTGCCCTTGTCTTTCTTGATAGATGGGGAAACTGAGGCACTAAGCACCGGAGAAGTGATTTGCCCAAGGCCCCTCCGTGCATCAGTAGCAGAGCTAGGAATAGACTCCTTGCCCAGGTCTTCTGATTACCTTGGCCTCTATCCCTCATTCCATTAAAAACACATAGGGCACTTTAAACAAAACCCTCACTGAAACTGACCTGTGGAGATTTCCTCCTCAGCTGCCTGCAAGTATTGTATGGGGGTCTACATTTTCCAGCCTCCCGCTCGCTTTTGTTGCTGGGCTCAGGCCTGGGAAACGGGAAGATGAAGGTTTGTGTGCAGCTCTGACAAAAACAGCTGGAATGCCCCTCCCTCCCCTGCTCCTTCCCCTTTTGTTCCAAGCAGGCGGGGAAGGGGGATTCGCAGAGCCCGGCGTTAGAGACACACTGACTGAGCCTCTCCAGGAATAGCCATCACCTTGCTAGGGAGCCGAGCCAGCCCCCGCGACTGCAGTGCCTGCTCCCCTCCCCATGGCCTGCTAGGGAGAGGGGGGAGATTCCGCTGTACGGTCCCTGGGCTTGTCTGGCGGCAGCATCTTCCAGCTCTGGCTGCATCGGTGTCGCCAATTCCCTCCTGCTCCGGCTTCTCTCCCTCGCCTGGATGCAGCCAGCGTTAGCCTGAGGGAGTGGCAGGCTGTATTCCAGAGGGCTGCAGCCTCCGGCTAGGGCTGGGGGGGCCAAGAGGGGCTTGCAAACAGCCTGGAGGGCTCCTCCACAGCCCCCCTGCAAGCTGGATGCTAAGGAAGAAGGTAAGAAGGGCCTGGGTTGAGGGAGAACACAGCAGCAAAGGGGATTTGGGGGGCTCATCGTGCAAGCCCAGGCTGCTCTAGGAATTATTGTGGGGCAGCTCTCTGGCCCGTGTTATGCAGGGGCTCAGACTAGATGACCACAATGGTCCCTTCTGGCCTTGGAATCTATGAGTCTTGAGCCAGCAACAAAGGAGAGGGGGGAAATGAATGAAGCTGGTGCGGTTCCCTGTTGGAAAATGCCAGGGGTGGGGCGCTGAAGTCTGGCATTGCATCTCCTTGCTACAGGATTGTGCATGGCAAAGCATTGTCCTGGGGCCGGGGAAAGAAAAGGGCACAGTCCTTACGGTAGGCTTGGTTTTGTGCTAGGGATGCTGCTGCCTGCTGCAGTCCCCTTTGGCTTGGCAGTGATTAAACGTGGAAGGCTGTGTGTGGTGGGGAGAGACTGTTAGAGGAGATTTTTGTTTTGAGATGTGCACTCCGTCCCTACCCCCGCTCTCTCCCTGGTACACACCCACCTGAACACAACCAAGACTGCAATCCTGGCTTGGTTTGGATTGTAACCTCCACGCATGGGTGTCGGCTTGACAGTAAGGATATACACACGCTCACAGAATGGCTCCATCCTCTCCTTAATTCCAAGCAGGGGGAACAAACAGGGACCTGACACCGGAGAGATGGGAATGACATTGGCCGTCATCATCTATTGCTTAACTCGATCAAGTTCTGGTTTGAAACAGGAGCTGGGTTTTTCTTTTGTGTGCTGGCTGTTGGATTGCGTGGCACTCTTTGGCTGCCGGGCTGGGCATCGCTGCTGATTTCGGGTTATCTCATCATTTAGAGGTTGGCATTGCTGTGCTACAGGATCTGTTTTCTTCTTGTCTGTAGCTGGGAAATGCCATTCTAAACAAGGGCAGACTGGAATGTATTGGTCGTATTTCTATAGTGCTGCAGGAGTATGTGATACTTCATATAAATAATACGGCATAAAGGTCCCTGCCCCTGGCAGCTTCCGTTCCAAACATTAGGAAGAGGCTAATGGTGCATCTGGACAGGCCCCATAAACGTGAGTAAGCGAAAGGCAGAGGCGCCCGTTATCTTTAGGTATCTAGGCTGGTCGGAGATGTGTTTGGAAACCGCTTGAAGACAAAGCACTATGTCAGTGCTAAGCGCTGTTTACTGTTCTGCTGATTGTCAGTCTAGTAGGCCTGTGAACCCCAGCTCAGAAATTATTCCTGCTGGGATGAGTGTCAAGTTTCATCAGCCCAGCCTGCATTGTTGGAAAGGAAGGTTTTCTCGGGGGTGACTTGCATTTTAAGGGGGTTTAGATTTGCGGTGTCTGCCCTAGCTTTTGCTCTCTTTGCTGCTAGGCGACATTCCTCTATCCAGCTGCGGTCATGAAGAGCCCCTTCTAATCCGCACGCTTCAGCCCGGCCCTGTCATTGCTGGGGAGGAGCTGCCTGGCCTGGTCTTAAACTTGGGTCTGTTATTTGGCAGTTTAAAACAATTGCTGCCTGCTGTTAAGCTGCTTGAATGTAATCCATTTCTATTAGCCAGGTCCAGCAAGGAGCAGGTCTGCAGTCAGACAGCCGTGCTCTCCCCAACCAATGTCACTGGGCCTGGCAGAAACTACTAAGGGTGCAGGACTTCAAATGGGCAGCGCGGAGGCAAGCCACAGGTTAAATTGTTAGCAAGAGCCATTATAAAAATGCCAATGACGAGCCATGTGAGGGGTTGAGCTGTGATCTTGGAAGGCTGCGGGCTGATGTTTCGCAACTTGTGTAAACCTGTATATTCAAAGGGACACTGTTGTGATAAAAATCATGGCCTGGATTATCTGCTGAGGCCAAGATTCAATTGTGTGTCCTTATATTCTGCTTGGCTCTGTGCCGTCTCCGGGCTGGGGGGCTGTTCTAACCCAGTGGCTCTCAAACTTTCCAGACTACTGTACCCCTTTCAGGAGCCTGATTTATCTTGCGTACCCCCAAGTTTCACCTCACTTAAAAACGACTTGCTTACAAAATCAGACATAAAAATACAAAAGTGTCACAGCGCACTACTACTGAAAAATGGCTTCTTTTCTTATTTTTTTATGATATAATTATCAAATAAATCAATTGGAATATAAATATTGTGCTTACATTTCAGTGTCTATAGAGCAGTATAAACAAGTCATTGTATGGGATTTTAGTCTCTACTGACTTCGCTAGTGCTTTTCCTGTAGCCTGTTGTAAAACTAGGCAAATATCTAGATGAGTTGATGTACCCCCTGGAAGGCCTCTGCATACCCCAGGGATACATGTATCCATGGTTGAGAACCACCTACGCCACCTGGCAGTGGTCCTCAATGGACTACTTCTATATTAAAGCAATGTGTTAGCCCAGGCAGAGAGAGCTAGGCTAGAACGTAGCTTGTTCTTGTTCACCTAGTTGTTAGAACTTGGTTTGGCCTCCTTCCCAATGGTCAGATAAAAAGTATTTATGTAAACCCTCTATGACCTGATTTGTTTCAAAGGTGCTGCCCACCCAGAGCTCCTGTTGAAGTCAGTGGTGGTTACTGGTAGGGAGAGAGAATTTTTATTTTTTACTGCTTTATGAGTTTTTTAAAAGATGGCTTGTGAATCTGTGGTTTTTATTTCTCCCCCTGGCCCCTGCACTTGTTTTTTACATTAGAAATTCAGGTCTTCTTTGTCCTAGAGGACTCTATGGTTGACACCAGCCAGGATTGGGGCCCCATTGTACCAGGTAGTACTACACAAACTCAGAAGAGATGGTCCCTGCTTAGACAGTGAAATGATGACATTGCATGAGTCGAGAGAGTGAAAGCTGAGCTGTTGGGAGAGGAAGGGAATTGAGTCAGACAAAGCTTTGTGTGTTAATGCCAGTGTAGCTTCATTCATTAACTAAGGTTTTGAAGAAAAGATGTCTTGGAAGCTTTCAGCTCCTCTATGTTTCAGTTGAGGTGTGAGAACTCACAATACACATGGTCTGAGACAAGTAGTAGTTCTTCCAGCAAAACGAGAGAAGACCAGAGTTGACATTTCTAGTATTTCTAAGGTAAAAAACCCAAGCATGGGAAAAAACCTCTTTGAGGCCTTATAAACAAAGACTCAAGCCCACTTTTAAATAGAAACCGTTGTGGGTCACTGTTAGTGTGGGCCTGTGATGTAAAAACCTAGTTTTTTCTTCACCAGCACATCTGCTCCCTGTTTGTGTTCAGAGCTGTCTCTGCTAACTAGTGACACACGTAATTTTTTATTACCGTTTACTCCTCTTAGCCCTGCAGAGCCAACACAGCTCAGAGAGAGTGGTCTGGATTCTATTCTAGCTCCCTCCTCATCTCCAGGATTGTTAACTGCTTTATTACTTACAAACTTATTTGGGCATAAGCTTTCGTAGGCTAAAACCCACTTCATCGGATGCATGCAGTGGAAAATACAGTAGGAAGATATATATACAGAGAGATATCTTCCTACTGTATTTTCCACTGCATGCAACCGATGAAGTGGGTTTTAGCCCACGAAAGCTTATGCCCAAATAAATGTGTTAGTCTCTAAGGTGTCACAAGTACTCCTCGTTCTTTTTGCTGATACAGACTAACACAGCTACCACTCTGAAACCTGCTTTATTACTGTAGTTCCCCAACAACAATTGGAGACCGGGGCCACGTTGTGCTGATCACTGCATAAATTAATAGTGAGACACACTATCCCAGAGATCTCTATGGTCCAATTAGCCAAGACAGGCAAAGGGTGGGTGAAACAGAAGTTAGGTGATTTGCACAAGTCTGCAGATCCAGGAATTGAACCCAGCCCTCCTGAATCTTATATTAGTGCCTTAGCCACAGAATCATCCTTTCTCTCCTAACATGCATTTCTGTTGCAGAATCTTTATTGCTGACAGTGATGCGTGAGCTGTAAAAAAACCCATTGGTTGATTCTCCAGAGCTAGCAGTTGGGGAAAAAAAACATCTTTTTATTTGTAAACTGATTGTGGGTGGTAGGTAGATTGTTAAGAAACAAACACAGAACCCTGCCATGTACAGAGTCTCTTTCAACAGTGCACACACACACTTTTAACACAATTACACCTGCTCCTTAGATGGGGGGGGGGCCTTATGCCGTTTCTTTACATTTTGCTGGGATGATAAAACTACACAGGTCAATTTCACTTGGTTTATAGTCCATTTCAGCTTCTGGTTTTCATGTTCTAGCACAGTGCTTCCCTCAGTGGAGAGATGACTTCATTCCACATGACTCTTGAGTCACACCTTATATCAGCACTCCTCTCTCGTTTCGTCTTTAAAAAAAAGTTGTTTGTTTTTGTTAAAAAGCCAATAAAAATTACAACATTTTTGCATCAGCCCTTTTGCCTTGGAACAAGTCCTGAAGGAACAATATTTTTATTAGCTACTTTCTAAACCGAAAAACAAAATCTGATCCAGCAAATAGCCAGAGTTGGCGCAATTACAGCAGAAGTGAAAGGAACACATTTAAATAAATGTAACCAAGGATTGTCAAATTGCACTCCTGTGGCTTAACATTGTTGACTCCAGCTTGATGATTTCAAATACTATATCAGTTTGGGTGGGTGGGGACTGTCTGGGCTCACAACTCAGAGTGCTGCTCTATGGATGTTTTATTATTTCTATTACAGTAGTAATTAAGTCTTTTGTGCAGTTAGCTGCTGTACAATAATAAATAAATATCATAAAAGAGGCATGACGTGAAGTGACTTGCTCAAAGTTATGTAGCAGAGCCAGGAATAAAACTCAGCTCTCCTGAGTGCCACTCAAGTGCCCTATCCACTGGACCCAGGCTGCCTCCCAGGAACGAATGACCCATATTAAGGCACAAAAGAGATCTGAGACATTGACACAGCTTAAATTGGTTACTTAATTTTGGGAGAACTATCTGAACTCTGACACTGATTCTCGCAGTGGCCTAGAATGAGTCACTTAACCTGTGTACCTCAGTTTTCCCATCTGTAAAATGGACTTATTT